CTGCATGACGGTCGGGTTGCTGTATGTTCTAACGAGTGTTGGGGACGACCGCGTGGCCGAGTGGACGAGTGCGGCGGTTAGGCGGCGCTGGCGGGCGGGCGAGCGGCCCCGCACCGTTGGTGATTGGTCCCGGCGCGGAATTCGCGGGCTGTCTGCTCCACGGATGGCAGCGGCGTGCAGAAGGTGGAGTGAGGGGACGACGAGAGGCGCAGGGGGTAGACGGGTGGAAGAGTGGAAGAGGGGAAGAGGGGAGGAAAATGAAGGGAAATGAAGGACAAAGGACACGTATGCACACACACGCACGCAGTCACACACACACACACACACACACACACACACACACACACACACACACACACACACACACACACACACACACACACACACACACACACACACGACACCTGGCCTGCTGTCGTGTGGGGAGTCCAAAGGAGAGCTCTGTGGGGAGTGGGCTGGCGAGTCAATGTTGAGCATGGAGCTCTCCGTCTCAAGCTGTCGAACACTCAGCATGTCCACAAACTGCACGTACCAAGGGAGATGACACACCATGTCTATGTGTGAGCACGCACGTGTGTTTGCTTGCTTTGCTTCCGAAACGTGTAGTTGTGTGTGTGTGTGTGTGTGTGTGTGTGTGTGAACGTGGAGTTGTGTTTGTGCGTGCGTGCATGAAATACAGCACAGCAGCACTTGAATGCCACGCTGCCTTGTACCTCTTGATCGAGCTGAGCGAGCGAGTCTGCAGGAATGCGCGACTTCACAAACGTCAAATACTCAACAGCAGTCCGGAACACCGTTGCTTTGTCCGCCTCCTGCATACACAACACAGCACGGCACAACACAACGCAGAGCGCAGCGTGTTGAGGGGTAGTGGTGAGAGTGTGGCGCGCTGGCAACCATCAGCAAGCTCGCTGACATGTGTATCACTGGCAGAGAATCGACAATGTGCCGGTCCCCACCTTGACTGTCGGTACGAGAAGACGAAAGTTGTTGCAGCTTGCCACAATGTTCGCCCTGTCACCCAAACCAAGCACCAAAGCCAGCCAGTGAGTGCTGCGAACTTGCTTGCTGAGCCGCAATGCAACACAACACGGCACGCACGCACGCATACACGTGCACTCGAGACCAGCGACCACAACACGTTTCACACGACACACGAAACACGCCACCGCCACCACCACCACCGACCTTCTGAGCTTTTCCTTCTCTGTGTGACCAAGCGCTGGTTTTGCTTTCTTCCGTCCCCTCCCTGACACACAAACGCCACACACACACACACACACACACACACACACACACACACACACACACGTGTGTAAGTCTGTATGCGCTGAAGCAGAACATGTTGAAGAAGGCAATGGAGCCACTGCACAATGCACGCACCCACACGCACACGCAATGCACGCACACCTCACACGCACACACGCAATGCACACACACACACACACACACACACACACACACAACATCGCCTGCTCACCTTTGAGTTGCGAAACGGATGCCTGTGGCTGAGGCAGCGTTGTCTGATGCATCGAACACGGCGAGCAAGAAAGAGGGTGTGCAGGATGTGAGGTCCGGCTGCAACAGCGGGAAAAATGCACACCTCCTTGCACGCACACGCACACGCACACGCACACGCACACGCACCAATGCACGAACACGCACCCATGCAGGAACACGCACACGCACCCATGCAGGAACAAATACACCCATATACGAAAAAAAAGTACAGGCACACAAACACACGAAGGCACGCGTTGCAAATCACCACACTGCTTGCTCTCCTCCATGCGTCGTACCAACGACGATACGCACCTTCTGCGTGAAGATGTTCGTGTTGACCTGGCCGGTCGGCAGGGGCCAAACAAACGATTGTTGTCCCCCTTGCTGCTGCTGCTGCTGGTGGTGTTGGTGTTGGGGCTGTGGTTGCTGCTGATGCTGTTGCTGGTGCTGCTGTTGTTGTTGCTGCAGCTGTTGCAAGAACTGGTACTGTGTTGGGGACGCAGGCTGGAACTGTGAAGGGCTTGCTGGCTGACGTGCCTGCTGCATCACACTCTGCTGCTGCTGCTGTGGCTGCTGCTGTGGCTGCTGCTGTGGCTGCTGCTGTTTTTGTTGCTGTTGTGGAAGGGAGAACTGCCCGGATCCTGTGGGCGAGAAAGTCGGAGAAAAGCTCTGCTGCCTTTGCAGTCGTTGTTGTTGTGTCTGCTGTTGTTGTTGTGTCTGCTGTTGTGGCTGCTGTTGGGTGAAGCCTGGAGGGGAGAACGCCTGCCCACGCGAGAGCGGGGTGGACTGCTGGTGCATCGACAGGGACGCATCGGGCACACTGCCGCTCCGGGCACGCTGTAAGGAGGTGTGGGATGAGGTAGCGTGAAGCTGCGCTAACAACAATGACGCAGGGACAAGCAGCTGGGTTTAGATACGCTACAGACAGTCACACACACACACACACACACACACAATATGGCCACTGAAACGGCACACACACACACCCTCACAAACACATACACCCTCACCCACATACGCACACCTTCACACACACACACACACCCTCACACACAAACACATACACCCTCACACACACACCAACGTCAATGACAACGACTTCAACAGAAACGACCACGGCATGCGTGTGCGGACCTGTCCGCCGGAGGTGAGACAGTAGCGCACGAGGGACTCTGGTTCCGAGAAGAGGGAGCTCGAGTGGTTCAGAGAGCCGTGTGACGCCTGGCGCCGATGCATTGCCGACGACGACGACGATGACGGCAGCATCGCACTTGTAGGCGACACGGGCGACTCCGGGTTGGTGTTGGGGAGGCTGTTTGATGCAAGCGGGGAGCTGTGGCGCGGCGCAGCGCGTTCTGATGGCGAGAATGTGGTGAAGGGGCCAGTGGACGTGTTCACATCAGTCATGGAGGACGACGAGTTGACGGAGGTGAAGCTCGTATCAGGCATGTTGCCCATCAGCGCCTGTGCATCAGCTGTAACACAGTCCATGTGATACCGTGTGTGTGTGTGTGTGTGTGTGTGTGTGTGTGTGTGTGTGTGTGTGTGTGTGTGTGTGTGTGTGTGTGTGTGTGTGTGTGTGTGTGCGCGCGCGCGCGTGCATGTGTGTGTGTGTTAGTGATGTATGGGACAAAGGCGGTGGAGGAGGGTGTGTGGAATATGGGGCTCTGAAAATATAACACGACACAACACAACGCAACGCAACACAGAAGCACATGTACACACGCATACAACACACCGTTGAGGAACTGGGCAAATGGTGTCCACTTGTCAAACTGTTCCTTGAGCGCCTGTGTTGTGAAGGGCTTTTGCAGCATGTCATTCATGCCGTGCGCCTGGTAGTCGCTCGTCGTGCCTGAAGAACACACACACACATGGAAGAAGAAAGACAGGGTTTTGGTGCGATGTGAGAAAGGAGTGGGCTTTGACAGCAAAGTGAAGGGCTTTAACGTGCGTCATACTTCCCATGCTGCTGGAATTTCGGTCCCGTGCACCACAGCACACGCTACACGGCCACACAGCACCCCGCAGCGTGTACCTGATGCTGTGAAAGCGATAATCGGGGTGTAAGCGTTGAGCTGGCTGTCTGATCGAATCTGCTGCGTGGCCTGCACTCCGGAGAGACCAGGGAGGTGGATGTCCATGTAGATGATGTCAAAGTGCTGCTGTCTGCACAGCTGCAGCGCCGACTCGCCGTCAAACGCCTGCACACCACAGAGCGGTCCATCAAAAGGGGGAGGGGGGAGGTGATGGAAGGGCGCGTGCGGCATACGAAACGGCGCAAAGCGATGTGGGCGAGAGGGTGTGAGCTTTCGGGCACATTACAACGCTGATATCATCGGCTGTGGCGCGCCACAAGGTCATTGTTGCTTGCATATCATGCCTTGTCTCCACACACACACACACACACACACACACACACACACACACACACACACACACACACACCTGGGCGATTTCGGTGGTGAGTTCGCGGAGGAGGGTACAGATGACGCGCTGTGTGAGGCGATCGTCCTCGACCACAAGCACGCGCGCCGCTTTCTGCACTCGCGCACGACGAGATCGAGGGGTGGGGCAAGGGCATGCGAGTTGGAGTAAAGATGCAGCAGTGAGAAGGAGATGGGATCGGCGACACGAAAAAACAAAGCTTACACATACACACATACACATACACACACGTACACACATACACATACACACACACACAGAGGGACGACCAGCTATCCTAACTGTACAAGCACACAAGACTACAGCACTCAACCACAGCCAACCAACGCAAACTAACAGCCCACACTTTCTGCGAATGTGCATGTGTGTATGTGTGTATGTGTGTGTGTGTGTGCATGACGTACGGGGACTTCAATGTCGAGGTCGAGGACATCCATGTTGAGATCGCCAATGCCGGAGAAGTCGAGCGCATCAAAGTCAATCTGCGGCGGTGGCTGCTGCTCCTGCTGCTGCGCCATGACGACGCACAAGGACGCACAAGGACGCGCATTGACGGGCATTGACGGGCGTGGCGTGTGGGCAGGGAACACGTGCTGACGTGAGTGCTGTGTCTCCTTCAGCCATTAACAACAAAGGCGGAGGGGTGATGGGGAAAGAAAAAGAGAAAGACAGCGCACATAGACATGTACAGCTCAGGGGGAGAGAGAGTGTGTGTATCCCGCCTCACGCAACCACACAACCACACAACCACACACACGCAGCCACACAACCACACACATTCACACACATTCACACACACACACACACACACACACATACACAAAACCCCCCCACCCCCGCACCTGAACGCGCTGGTTGCCCCATGTGCGGATGCAGTCGAGCAGGGTAGTCTTTGTGAATGGCTTTGGCAGGATGGCACTGAAGCCTGCTTCTTTGCACGGCAGCGATACCGCCGCCTCTGATCCGGTCATGGCAATCAGCGCCGTGTCTGCGTTTGCACCCGTCGTTCTGCGCACGTGCGTGTGGTTGTTGTTTGTGAGGTGCCAATGCAATGCGAATGGCACCAGCAGCTACAGAGAGAGAGAGAGAGAGGCAAATCGCAAGAATTCAACTGTAAAAGCAACAAGAGGTCGGCGTGTGTGCCCATGCATCCCCTCCTTGCTCCTTTCGCCGTTCTTAGAACCCCCCTCCCCGTCCTTTTTTTTTCTCTCTCTCTCCACCTTCACACCTGATGGCTTTGGCAAGAATGAAGCCGTCAGAGACGGGTGGGTTGCACGCTGTGTCAACATCGATGAGGATGAGCCCAAACTTGGCATTGCCACACGCAGCCAGCGCCTTTTCCGCATCCGGCACCTGCAATGCACAGATTGGCAGCGTGGAATTAGGAGTCACAGCACAGCACACCCGCACACCTCGTCTGTGGCACACCAGCACAGCACGGCATGGACATTGTTCTGTGGAACAGCGGCCCCAGCCCACCCAGCATACACGTTCACAAAATCCTTCTGACCAACGAACGCACGGCCACGCTCACATTGACACACACACACACACACACACACGCACACGCACGCATGCACGCACACGAACGCACACACACGCACACGCACACACGCACACACACACACACACACGAACCTGGGTGTGAGGAACGCCGCTCTCCCCGAGCCAGGCGTGGATCAACCGCTGCAGGTCTCCATTGCCATCAAACACAAGGCAGTTGCAGTCCATCTGTGACCACGGATGTGCACGAGGTCGTATGGGCAGCGTGTACGGGGTGGGTGGTAAGATGACAACATGGCACAGCAGCAGCAGCAGCAGCAGCAGCAGCAGTAGCAGCAGCAGCAACGCGCGTCAAACCGCACCTCAACCGCAAAGTGTCTCACACACATGTGCACAGAGAGAGAGAGAGAGAGAGAGAGAGAGAGAGAGAGAGAGAGAGAGAGAGAGAGAGAGAGAGAGAGAGAGAGAGAGAGAGAGAAATGCGAGTGCGCAGCACATACACGTTCAAACACACACATACACATGCACACAAATGCGTACACAACGCACACACACACAGACACACAGATACATACGAATGCATACCCCTCCCCACCCGTGCACACGTGCCTTGTTCAACTTGAGGTGCAAGCTACGATGAGGGACAAAAGGTGCCGTGCGTCACGTGGCACGGTCCTCTTCGCACAACCACCAGCTCGCCACACAGAAAGATGGGCTTGCTTGCTTCTTCGTGCTTTGTGCTTGCTTGCTTGTGCTGCCCGTCTGTTCCACAGCCAGCCAGAGCAATGCACGCCAATAACCAACAACGAGCAGCTGCCAGCAGGCAAAGACTGCTGCCAAGCAAGGGCTCAAGGAAAGTCGAGAACAGTCCCCCTGATTCTTGCGCGCCTCCACACTTCTTGTGCGTGCGTGCGTGTGTGTGTGTCTCTCTCTCTCTCTCTGTTCGCAGCCTCTCTCAAAACCACACAACAGCAAGCAAACAACACAACATCCGCGAACAACAACAAAATCAACTCTCAACCACCCCCAATCAAGGTCAAAATCCTGCAACGGAATGGACAAGCAAGCAAGAAGCAAGCAAGCAAGCAAAAAGAAGCCAAGGCGCTCTCTCGCTCTCTCTCGCGTCATGCACACAACCGCCGCCGCACATACAAACACAAACAGCCCGCGTTGCTCTTCTGCTCTTGTCAGCTGTGTCTGCCTGGGGCAAATAACAATAAAAAAAATCTGGGGACGACGTCATGCGGACATGCTATCTACCGCTGGTAAAAACTGCAGAAAATATGACAAATTCCGGGAGATCAGCATATGTCTGCGAAGTGCAACTCTTCCCGCCCCACCCCACAAAGCAATGCACACGCACACACACACACGCACGAAAACAACACAACCCGCGGCACGAGCTCCCCAAAAAAGCCAAAGGCACGACCGCAAGCAAGTCAAGTTTCCTCTGCCAGCCCCTGCCAGCCAACCAACTCTGCTCGACCCTGCCCTGCCCGCAGCTACAACTCTCTTCAACCCCCCGTCCCCCTCAGCGCCACTCGTCCGGAACCCTCGCCCCTCCCCCCCCGCTTTCGCCTCCTTCTCCACACGCGTCCGCCTTTCAAGGCAGTAGCAACTGGGAGCGAAAACAGCGCCCAAAATCCCCAGCCAATCAGCCAAGTAGAAGTCAAAGTTGCAGCAAGTCCACATCATCCTACTCGACAGCTCCACTTGACAGCTGCAACCCCGTTGCCTAAACCCGCTCAAGGTACGTTTGTGCGACACCGCTGGACGGCGTGAGTAGCCCCCGGCAACTCTGCTGGCTCGGTACGCGTCTCTGGGTCTTGCTGATCAGTCAAACGAGCCAATCAACTCCTACTTCCAACTGTCGTTTCTGCTACTCGAAGGACTTCTCCCTTTCTCCTTCTCGACTCGCCCCTGCCCATCACGATCACGAGCCCTTAGAAGCTCGGGAAGCCCGTTTTGCTCGCTCAGGGCTGATGTGCACTGCTTCTGAGCACCGCCTAGTCGTGTTCAGACCCGCGTTCCACTTTCACCATCCCCCTTCTACCCTCGTCTTCCTCTTTCTTCGAGTCTTTGGTGGCTGCTCGTACTCTGTGTCGTTGCCTCCCGCTCTGCTCCTTTGTTGCTCGAGTTTGCGCTGTCCTTGCAAGCCTGCATGGCACCTGTTCCTTTTCTACGCCTTGTTTGCTGCTCCATGGGCCTGCTGTGCCCGCTGTTGTGGGCATGTGGTGCTGCTTTGACGTGCTGTACGCTACTTGCTGAGCTTGCAAGGCTTCTTAGTGGCACAACTTTGCCCTGCCCTGTCTCCCTTTCTCCCTGTCTCTCTTTTGTCGCTAGTACCGAGGCCTGAGCTCGGCTGCTTTCAACTCGTTTGTCTTCTCCTCCCCCCCCCCCTCTCCTGCCATGTGCTCCTTCTCTCCTGCCCTCCTGGTCTTTGCGCAACCTCGTCAGACTCACTCACGCTCGTGTCTCCCTCCTGCTCTGCACCTGCAACCTCGTATCCGCTCCAGAAACCCACCATCATGACAGCGAATGCCAGACGAACCAAGGACGACGTCGACGCTCTCCAGAGCAAGATGAAGGACGCTGACGAGCTCTCTTCCAGCGATGACCCGGAGTCGCCAGGAGGGTCCCAACCTCCCCTCAAGCGCTCCAAATCCTCCACGCCCTCCTCGTCCTCGTCCTCCCACTCCAAGTCCAGCAAGTCCTCCAACTCCACCGGCACCTCTAGCAACAGCGCTAGCACCAGCACCAGCACCAGCACCACCAGCAGCAGCAGCAAGAGTTCCAAGTCATCCAAGAGCTCCTCCAAGTCAAAGTCATCCAAGTCGTCCAAGTCATCCAAGTCAAAGTCAAAGTCTGCCGGTAGCAGGCGAACTGGCTTTGGTACCGCTGCGAAACGGTTCGTTTTTTGCCACGTGAGGTTTTGAGTTTGCGTGATGTACGGAGCGTGGGTCGGGCATTGTGCCCGTGGCGCTATTGCACTTGCTGTCGACTGCAAGTTCCACTCCACAAATCCCCTCTTCGCTGGCGTGCCTTCCTTCTTCGACTCGCTCTTGCCTCATCTTGCCTAACCGTTTGCACCTGCCCCAACTCTTCACCTGCCCTCTGTTGCCCACTGCTGTCATTGCCCACCCGCCCTCTGCATCTGCCCTGGGCGTGTATTTCTTCGCTGGCACGCCCCCCTGCCGCTGTCTCACCCTCCGCCACGCGCTCTTCCATGCTTTCGCCGTGCGCTATTGAATTGGCAGCATCCAGCAGGAGATGAAGGAGCTGGCGTCGGACCCTCCCCGCAACTGCAGGTTTGTGTCATGCCCTTGAGCGCTGCCGAGTACGCGAGCGTCCGAGTCGTTGATTGCCCTTGTGGCCTGGTTCGCTCACTCACAGTCGTACCCCGGTCTGTCTGCCCATCTGCCTGTGTGTGTGTGTGTGTGTGCGTGTGTCTGCCCCGCCTGTGTCTGCCTCTCTTCCTTGTCTGTTTCTTTCTATGTCTGCGGTTGTGTGTTGCACAGTGCCAGTCCCAAGGGCTCCAACATCTTCGACTGGGGGTCAACCATCATGGGCCCTGAGGGATCGCTGTATGAGGTCAGTCAGTGCTTGCAGGCAGCACGGTGGCGTGTGCGCGTGAACCAGAGAGGCGAGAGAAATGCCTACTCGAAACGGGGGGTGGGCTGGGATTGGGTGGGTCGGTTGAAGTACGGCAGCTTGAACGACTGCGAACACATGGTTGCCTGCAGGCATTTCAGGGCCTGTGGGGGCTCGGGAGGCTCGAGATGGTTGTGTTGAGAGCGGCTGTCTGAGGTTGCGCCGAGGAAGAGGCGTGTGCGGGGCTGGTTGCTTGCAGGCAATGGCACTGAGCTGTGGTGTTTTGCCTGTGAGGAGCAGAGAGAAGCTCTAGCCGCACCTGCACTAGCGTTCGCACTCACCATCTCATCTCACACGTCTTCGGGGTTGTTGTTGCTGTTGTCGTTTCGCTGTCTGGCTGCGACTGTGTTTCTTGTCGTCTGTCCTGCATCTGTAGGGCGGCATCTTCTACTTGGACATTGTGTTTCCACAAGACTACCCGTTCCGCCCGCCCAAGGTACGTGTGTGTGTGTGTGTGTGTGTGTGTGTGTGTGTGTGTGTGTGTGCGTGTGTGTGCGTGTGTGCGCGTTTGTGCTGGCGTTGGAGGTAGAAGTGCGCGAGGCATTTGGCTTTCGCTGCTTGCTTGTCACGCATGTTTGGTTGTCGCTGGACATGTGGCTCACTTTACGATGGTACGGTCCTTTCTTTGTGCAGGTGACCTTCAGGACGCGCATCTACCACTGCAACATTGCCAGCAACGGCGCCATCTGCCTCGACATTCTCAAGGTCAGCTCGGCTTGTGTTTTGCCACAACAACACCTGTTCCCACACGCAACAAATTCACACATGCACACAAGCATAAGCACAGGCACACGTACACGAATGCACACAAGCACCACACACGCACAGACAGCCACAGAGGCACACGCACTGGTGCACCCAGACAGACACAAGTGCACCAGTGTACGCGCTTTCGCTGTGCTGTGTAGCTCACGCGCCTGTCCGTGACGCTGTGTATACGTTTCACAGGATCAGTGGAGCCCAGCCCTGACCTTGTCCAAGGTGCTACTGTCTGTGTGCTCCTTGCTCGCCGACTGCAACCCAGGTGCGCATGATGGCAACGAATACACCTGCGCTTGGGATGCGTGTGCCTCTTGCGTGCCTCTTTGTGTCTTGCGGTGCATGTGTCTATGGATGTATTGTGTTGGGCCATGTCAGAAGCTGACACCTCCATCTATGTGTGCGCGTGTGCACAGAGGATCCCCTGGTGCCAGCAATCGCGCAGGAGTACATCAACCAGCGAGGTACGTGATTGCGAGTGGACTTGTGCGTATGTTTGTGGCTGTGAACGCTTGACCAATTGCGAGCTTTGCGTCTTGTATTGGTGTGGGCGTAACTGTTGTTCGTGAGCGTACGCCGCTGGTTGTATGACATCATGTGTCTGCGTGCGTGTGTATGTGTGTGTGTGTGTGTGTACGCGTGCGACATCATGCGCCCACGTTCATGTGACTCACACGCTGTGCATGCAAATGGGCAACACTCGCAGAGGTTCACGACAGCAAGGCACGCGAGTGGACCAAGCTCTACGCAACCTAAATGCCAACGCCGTGTTTTGATGCATGCGGGAGCACCCCGTTCTTTAATGCATTGCCGCCGTCGCTTGTGCGTTTGCGTGTCTGTTTATTTCATTTGCCTGCACGCAGCTGCTCCGTTGTTGTTGTTGTTGCTTGTGTGTACAGTGTTGTGTTTGCTGTGTTTCTTGACCTCCTACAAGCGTGAATGAATCTTGCTTCTTCAATCCTTATTTGTCCCCACCCCCTGCCCACTTCACTTTGAGTTTGATGACTGAACCACGAGTTTCGTTCGTATTAGCACCCCCTTGTTTGCTTGGTGTCGTGTCGTTTGTTTCTTGGCTGTGCCTTGTGTGAAGCAGCTCACGAAATGGAGAAGCATCCCCAGCCCACGTGTTCAGCCAGGCTGCTGATGTGCAGCCTCGGTGTACTCGTGTGCAACACTTGTTGCTTCTGGTGGATTTTGCGTGCACCGCGTTTCGTTCTCTTCCTGCTCAGGCCTTCAGGCGCACTTGATATGTGTGTGTGTGTGTGTGTGTTTCTGTGTTTGTGTGTGTGTGTGTGTGTGTGTGTGTGTGTGTGTGTGTGTGTGTGTGTGTGTGTGTGTGTGGTCCTATTGGCTTACACCTGCTGAAGTCCTTAATCAACGAGTTTGTGAATGTCAGTCACCTCTCTCAGTCTCCCCTGTTTGCTTGCACGAACTAAACAGCAATGAAGAACTTTATGGTACTGGACATCTGGAGGGAAACGGACAGATGTGGAACGTGAAACGGTGCAGGCGGCGGTGGTTTAGGGAGAAGATGGTGGGGGCCAAGCTGAGTTTAGTCAGAGTGGCAGGCAGGAAGATACAGACACACAGGCCAATTGGAAGGGGGGGGGGTTGGATGTGGTGTACAGAAGCCAGAGGGTACAGAACCGCACAGTGCGTTTGATTTAAGACCGCGGCTTCCTCCAGTTGATCGCAAAGGCACATGGGCCCCGTCTTCATGGTTTGTGTGGAGTATTGTGGCTTCAGGCGTTGTTGCTCTTGCAGGCTTTTCATCCTGTGTGCTTTCGTGCTTTGCTCTCTTGCCTGCCTTTCGTGGCTGCGTTGTTGCCTTGCTCTTCCCTTGTGGCCTTTTCCCTTCTCAGCTTCTCTTCGTCTTGTTGCGCTGTTGCTTGCCTGCTTGCTTGCTTTGTGTTGTTGCTGTGTTTGCGTTTGTTTTGCGCTGTTTGCTCGTCGTGCCCCTCCCTCTTCTTTTTTTCTGTTGCTGTGTGCCTTGCGACTTGTGCGAAACGCGAAAATCAAGTCCGCCGAAAATTGGCAACCACATTCGGCAAATTTTACGTGGAGTTTCTTTGATGTATTGCAGGAGGGTTTCTAATTGTTCGGGCAATTCTGGCTCACGCGCAAAGTGCGCATGTGCCTGGCGAGCGAGCTGATGAGCGTTCTCGCGTTGTCGTTGTGCATAGGTGCGTGGTCTTCTTCTTGGTCTGACCTGCTGGTGCGGTGGCTTGTGGAGGGAAAGGGATTTCTGTGGGTAGTGCAGCTCACCCACGCATCGTGCACGACAAGAACAACAACACAATAACAACAACAACAACAACAACAACCAGCACACGGCAAAGGTGGACCTTGTGCTCAGCTTAAATGGATTGTTTGTGGTGTGTGGTTGTCGCCTAGCTGTTCGTGTGTGTCGACACAACCACTGATTGGGTCATGTTTGTCCCGCTGTGCAGGTTGCCAGCAGTTGGACATTTCTCAATCAAGTGCAATCCATTCTGCAATTTGCAAACCGTCCGTGCAAACAAAACCGTGCACAGTCGTGAAACCGTTTTCGTTGCTTGATCTCGATCTTGATTGATTGTTGTCGTTGTTTGTTTTGTGGGTTGTAGTTTGCTGTTGAGGTGAGCTGTTCATTCCACCCGCACCACCTGCCACACGGGACGCACACAGACGCACACAGACCACACAGTACACACAATACACACAATACACACAGTACACACAGTACACACACGCAACAAGGAGCCAGCATGAAGTTTGAGGTTGTTGCTTCCCTGGATCACGAGTACGTCGAGTGAAGGATTGACACGCATGACGTGTTTGTCGCTTGTTTATGTTTCAGGTCCTTCACAGCTGCCGATGCAACCTCTCTCACAGCGATTGCTGCTTATTCCATTGCATGTCGGTAGGTTGCCATGCTTCACAACAGCGATTCGGAAAGACGAGAAGGAGATTTCCGTGGGTCGCAAGGATGGCACTGTCGCGGTACGTGCCAGGAAAGGAAGTAAAGGTCATTCATTGGTGTTCTCTTGCAGCACACGCTTCAAATTGAACTCCCATCCTTAATCCTCACACCATGCACTCTCACACGCACCCTCACACGCACGCACACACACACACACACACACACACACACACACACACACACACACACGCACTTACGCACACACACACACACACGCACACACACACACATGCACACACACACACGCACAACCTTGCTTTCTTACGCCCTACCCCCTACTCATTCCTCCGTCGGTCACTGATCCTCATGGGGCTCATGCAGGTGTACAAGTTGGAGGATGCCACGCTCTCCCTCTCAAACATCCTCGAGGCACCCTCAACGGGGTTGCCCATGCCAGTCATGGACATCAAATACCTTCCGCCGTCGGCTGACAATGCCCTCGGCAACATCGCCATCTGCGCCGGTGCGTGCACACACGCATGCGCACTGCGCACCTGTTTGTTTGTGTGCGTGTGTGTTTGTGTATTTGTATTTGTGTGTGTGTGTGTGCGTGTGTGTGTGTGTGTGTGTGCGTGTGTGTGTGTGTGTGTGTGCGTGTGGATGTGCGTGCGCGCACGTTTTTGTGTATGGCTGTTGCTCAAGCACTGTCACACATGCCATGTGCCCACCGTGCAACTGATTCTCACTTTGTGCATCGCACCGTGTTCATGCGCCAGACGCATCTGGGTTTATCCGGGCATGGCACACATCCTCCGCGCAGATTTTGCACTCCGTTCAAAGTTCGTATGCTTGGCACCGTTGCCACCGCCGTTGGTTGTGTGCTCTGTGCTACATCGAATACAGCACCGGCAGTTCTCACCATAAAGTGGGGTACCCTTGTGCTTCAATGCCGTGCACAGGCAGGTCCAAGGAGCCCGCATTCACGTGCATGGATGTCAGCGAGACACAGGTGCGATGCATGGATACCTGGAAGCGTGAGCGCGCGCATGCGTGCGCTGTGGAATGAGTATCAGCGACCTCATTAGCAATGGCCAAGATGGCACGTGCGCGCATGCTCATGTCCCTGACATTGATGTGTGCCCACAACCCCCTGTATCCACATCAGATCGTTGCGTCCGGCTATGATCACCTCCTTCACGTTTACGATCTCGAAACCTTCAAGCCGCAGCAAACCCTTGGCATGACGTACGAACACGCGCGCGCGCGCGTGTGTTGTGGATGTGAGAGTGTGTCGTGGATGTGCGTGTGAGTGTGAGCGAGTGTGTGTCGTGGATGTGCGTGTGAGTGTGAGCGAGTGTGTGTCGTGGATGTGAGTGAGTGTGTGAGCGAGTGTGTGTCGTGTATGTGAGTGCGTGTGTATGTCATGCGCGCGCGTGTGTAGTGTTGCAGCGATGTGGTTTGTTTTCCATGATGCTGTTGTTGTCTCACCCGCGAATCATACACCCCCCTCTCTCCATACCCTCGTCCTTCCCTCCTGCGCCCCTTTCCCCCACACAGGACGGCCGAGCTTGGTGCCATGAGCGAGGAAGGCATCATCTCCCACACCAACCGCGTGTTCTCCTGCTTGTTCCACCCAACAGAGCGCAACATTGTGCTGTCTGGCGGCTGGGACCGCACCGTCATGGTGTGGGACACGCGGCAGCAGAACCCCGTGAGCCATCTTTCGGGGCCATACATCGCCGGCGACGCCATGTCGTTTGATGCCTCTGGCGATAAGCTGTACACGGCCAGCTACGATCCGCACACAGGTCTTGAGTGCTGGGACTTTCGCAACCTCACCTCGGCCTGGCGAAGCTCTGGCGACCAGGAGACACACCTCTACAGCTGCAAAGTACGGTCTTGCTCTGTGTGTATGTGTTTGTGTGTGTGTGTGTGCGCGTGCGTGTATGTGCGTGCGTGTATGTGTGTGTATGTGTGTGTGCTGTGGCGTCGGGGATTGATTGGATGAACGAAGCGTCTCACTCTCTTTACCTTCGCTTTGAATAGGCGAGCAACCACGGTTACGTCGTGTGCTGTGGCAGCCAGCCCAACCAGACACTTGTCGTCGAGGAAACAAATGGAAAGGTGCGGTGTGCTTGTGTGTGTGTGTGTGTGCTTGTGTGTGTGTGCTTGTCTGTGGATTGTGTGCGTGTCTATGGATTGTGTGCGTGTCTGTGGATTGTGCTCACTCAATCTCATCACCCCCCTCTGCAACACATACACACACATACACACACATACACACACACACACTTGAATGCTCGCTCCATGTTCTTCTCAACACACACACACACACACACACACACACACACACACACACACACACACACACTCACACTCACACACACACACTCACACACTCGTACACTCGTCTTCAGGTGATTGGGCGGGCGCCGTTTGAACATGCCCTGTTTGACATCAAGTTGTTACGTGACGATTCACATTTCATTGTCACGGGCGATCAAACGCTGTCCTTGGTGTCCCTGTCTACCACCGCCGCCACCACCTCCTCCGCCCAGTAAACGTTTGCTTCCGTTGCGAGACAGCGTATGCACTCACTGTGCTTCACTGGTGTAACATGCCACGATGTGGATCACATGTCACATCATCATTTCGCCCACAGCCGCTGCGATTGTTACGTGATGATGTGATGTGAAATGAGGTGATGTGATGTGACACACGCAGCAGTTACATTGCACGCGTCAGTTACACATGACATGCGAGACGCACAAGGAGCAACAACACAGCAAAGTTGAATGATGGACAGCCACAGGACGTGGTTGATGGTGGCCGCAGTGCTGTCACCCTTTGGGATCGGGGCCGGGGTGATGAGCATCACGATTGCCGCCCTCTTGTTCAAGACGCTCGCGCCGCCGCGGTGGAAGGAGTCTGTCAGCTTGGGGCCAATGGGCCTCCGCAGGAGAGCAAGCAGAGCAGCAAAGCCTCATGGCGTGCTCCCACTCCTCATAGCACACACTACAAGCACAGAGACAGAGCGAGCGCGCACGGCTGACGCCGTCCCACGCCACCGAGCAGCATTGGAGCACCAGCCAGTGAGTCTGATCGGCGTGCTTGTATGCGTGCATGTGCTTGTGCATGTGTGTGTGTGTGTTCATGTGCGTACTTGAAAGTTAGACGCCTGTGCATACACACGCACACACATACGAATGCAACCGCAAACGTGCCTGTATGCGCACACACACGCCTCCCTAACACGCATGCACACACACACACACACACACACACACACACAAACACACACACACACACACACACACACACACACACACACACACACACACACACACACAAACACACACACACACACACACACACACAAACACACACACACGCACACACACACACACACATCCACTTGGATAAGGAGCAAGGTTCAGAAGACACCACGTCGTCGTCATCGTCCTTAGGCATTCGTCTTCAACACTGGACGGAGTGGGCGCGTGCATTACCGAGGTCGCCACGCACAACACTGCTGAAGCAGGTGCAGAAGGCCCGAGCACGTGTACCGTACACCATCGTCACCAAGCCCAGCATCGCTCTGAGCTGGTCCCTGGTCCGGGTCATCTACGAGCACCAGCGCCGGTACCATGGCGCCGTACGGGCAGCCCTTGCCTGCTGGGGGCGGTGCCTGGTTATGGCGGTGATGGCGGGCAGCGTGGACGAGGTGCGGCGGGTCAGCGACAACCGCCTCATCGCCGTGTGCCAGACGGTGGTGAAGGGCAGCACGCTCCGTGCCATGTGGTTCTACCAGGACACCGAGGCGAGCCAGCTCATGGTGTGGTTTGCGGTGCTCACCATGAGCGTGCAGCGCGGGATACAGATGGGCTGCCGCTTTGTCGACGCGGGTCCGAGCGTGCGCAGCAACGTCGCCGACCTCAAGTCCAAGTTTGGGTTCACCAGCACAACACGCTGGACCAGCCACTACGACGGGCCCTTCCGCACACCACTCCCGCACAGCCAGCTCCACCTGGTCACCGAAACTGCGCAATCATCCACCAGCTCCAAGGCAGCAGCGTCACGCACTGAGCCGCCCTACCACAACAGCACACACAGGGCTGAGAGGAGGAAGAAGAAGATGAAGAGGGAGCGGAAGCACACCAGAGAGAACGACAACGACAACGGCAGCGGTGTAAGGAACAAGGGCATCAAGAAGGGAGATGATGAAGGTGGGCAAGAGGAGAGGGTTCGACAACATGCTAGTGAAGGAGCAAAGGCCGTGGGTGCAGCAGACCAACGGCAGCAGCCAACAGCAAGCGGGCCAAGTGTCATGCGACAGAGACAAGCTCGGGCGAGAGTTGTGGCCACCATCTCCAGCGCCACTTGATTTGTGTGTGTGTGTGTGTGTGTATGTGTGTGTGTGTGTGTGTGTAGCATTTCAGTTGCTCTTGTTTCTTGTCTCGCGACGCATATGCCAGTTGTTGTGGTTTATTGCCTCGTCATTGCCTCGGCTTGTTGTTGCCGATGGTGTTGCCGGCAAACCGTGTAGGCACATCACACAAGACACAAGATGTCCACACATTGAAACGACAGGTGCACACAAGGCCACGTACACACGCCCGTAGGCGACAAAACAGAACCCACATCAAACACTCAAGAGAAAGCATTTCACTTGACATTGAAGCATCCCGCAACCGCACGCACGCGGGTCATTAAGATGAACACAGGCCAGCCACCGTGTGGCATCGTATGTGGCAAAAACATGGAAACAACACCACAACAACGTCAACAGGGTGTCAACTCTCTCACACACACACACACACACACATTCACATCACGCATTCACATCACGCATTCACACACATTCACATCACGCATTCACACACATTCACGCATTCACACACACGCATTCACACAATCACAATCACACACCATGTCCTCTGTTCACGGTGTGGCGAGAATCTCGGAGATGACGGCGTTGAGAGAACCATCGTGGCGCTTGAGCATGGCGTGGAGGAGGTGCGGGTTGGCGTTGAACCCCATCTTCAGCAGCTGAAACACCTGGTCCGTGTACGGCCCAAACGGCTGGCTGGCTTCGCGTGCATCCGTTGCAGAGGCATCCGTCTGCGCTGGCGTTGTTGGCGCTGCACGCGTTGCACCGTCACGCTGGCCATTGTCACCTTGCTGGCGCTGCCTGCGGAACCGCTCATACCGGCCCTGACCCTGGCTGTGGGAAGCGGCGCAGGCGTGGTGCGTGGTGGCGTGAGGCACAGAAGCACGAGCACCAGCAACCGCGTCACCACGGCCATCTGCTTCGCCAGCGTCATCGCCATCGTCGTCATCGTCATCGCTGTCAGGCGGGTACTGGCCATTGCGCACATCCTGGATCAGGGGCGCATCGCCGCGCTTCCGCGTGGCAGTACCCGCAGTGGCGGCGGTGGCGGTGGCAGCGCGCTCCTCTGGCGCAGCCTGCTCATGGCGCTCCTCTTGCTCGCTGCTGTTGGTGGCGCTTGTGGGTGTTTTCGGGTTGCTTGCAGGCACATTCGAAGCCCGCTCCGTGGTGGGAGCAGAAGTGGCTGTTGCTGGTGTCGTCGCTGCTGTTGCTGTCGTCGTGCTTTCTGGTGCTGTCGTCGTTGTTGTCGGCGTGCAGCGCTGGCGAGGGCAGCACTTGGTGGCGCCGCCAAAGCCTGCCGCCCAGGGCGCACACGAAGGGGGAGCGCATGGCGGGCCACCAGGCGCGCAGAAGGGAAAAGGGAAGGCAAACGGGAAGGGCGAGCCATCTTGGCCTGCCTTGCACTGCTCCTTGCCAGCGCGCACAAACTGCTGCAGGAGCGGGTGCTCCACGAGGACGTCAACATCAACGCCATCAACCCCAAGCGTGTCCTTGACAAAGGCCTGCAGGCCTTCCAGCCATGGCGCGAGTGGGTGGTCGGCGTTGGCGTTGGCACTGCTGCCATTCTTGCCATGAGGAGGACGAGGCGGAGGGCAGCAGCGGGAAGCGCGCTGGGTGGCTGCAAACGGGCAGCCGCGGGACTTGCGGCCCCCACACGACCGCTCTGGCTGCTGTTGCTGCTGCTGCTGCTGCTGCTGCTGCTTGGTGGTGGTGGTGGTGGTGACAAAGAGGCGGAGCGTGTCGTCCTGTGCGCTCTGCACAGCCACGAGGAGGTCCTCGGCATCGCCGATGGTGATCATGTCGTCGTCCTCGTCCTTCCACTTGAGCTGCCACTCCTTGCCGCCGAGCGCGGCCTCGAAGCTCTCCTCGATGCGGTAGCGCAGGAATGCCGTGTCAAACATCTGCTGCATCCACGGCCAGCGCCGCACCTCGTCCCCGACATACACCTTCACGGTTGATGGCATCGCAGGGAGGATGTTGGCCGTGAAAGCGGCCGAGGAAGAAGAAGGAGAGTGCTGGTCTTGTCCGTCCATGGTTGCTTGCTTGCTCTTTTGCTGCTTGTTTCTGTGCGCGCAACGTCGAAGGTGGTGCCGCTAGCTGTGGTGCTCTTTTGGGGTCTTGGTGCCGAGGCTGATGCTGAACTTGTGTCGGCGTTGTTGCTGGTTGCTGTTTTGCCTGAGTTGGTTCCTTGTGTTGTGTCCTCGGTCTGGTGCGATGAGCGAAAAGAAAAAAATGAAGCTGCAGCACCGGATCTCGCCACTGATGGGAGCGAGCGCCGTGTCCACAAAACTGCCGTGTCGCGAACACATTCGTGTGCCTCTGTGTGTGCGTGTGTGCGTGTGTGCGTGTGTGCGTTCGCAGGTGCGTTCGCATAGCGTCATACTTGCAGTTGCTGCAGTGTTGGCGGTGACAGGGCAATGTAGTGGCCGAACGCCGTGAGGAACGGCCAGGATGTTCGTGCCACGAACGAACCAACAGTGATCGATCGATTGGTCGACTGATCGGTGGTTGGGACGACCGCAGCCAGCGTCGTCAGCCGCAGAGATCAGCCTTGCTGCAGTGTCACATCATGTCACTGCGTTTTTCCTTTTTTCCTTTTCCTCGCGGGTGGTGCTTCTGCGGCCTTCTGGCACTTGCTCGCAAGCGCAAGCATCCATAATGTGTGATGTTGACGTGCTGCTGACACGACACACCTGTGTACAATTATGGATCTTATGGATGACACGACATGACATGACGTCACAGAGCGAAAAACCGTCCTCTTGCCGCTGTCAGCGCCAAGTGTGAAAATTGCGTGCTTTGGGCAACGCAACACAAGCAGCAGGCAAGCTTGTCGCTCGTGTTCAAAGGCACGACACCGCCTCCTTCACACAGGACTCAGACATGTCATGGTGCTGAAGAAGGTAAGGAAGGTTTGGTGTGCATGAGAACGAGAACAGTGCGGCATGTGAGCCACCCAGCACCCATGAAGCAAGAGTGCAAGCAAAGCCAAGGAGCAAGCAAAGCCAGCAGCAGGGCGCCATCGTCGTGACCCTGCTTTGCTTTTTGCGACCTCTGGATTTTTGACGAAGATGTACACCAATTCTCCTCAGCTCAACCATCTCCACAACCACCACAAACGAACGAACGGCCATCATCGCTGATGTGACGCACTTCGGTTGCGGACGCGAAGCAAACACACCACACACAAACCCTACGAACACCACCACAACAAACAAACAGTAGACAACCCTCTCACCACCACTGCCTCTTTCCCCCGCTCGCTCTACTCAACCTACACCAACAATACAAACGGCACCCTGCAACGCGATCAAGAAGCGAGCGACGGCGGTGGTGACGACACACCACACCAACACCACCACAACAAACAACAACAGCAGCACTACCACAGCGGTTGTTCGAGGTGGGTCATGATCCGTCACCGCCTGCGACGATGGTGCTGCCACAGACACCGGCTTGTGTGGATTGCAGTGGTCGCCCTGAGCATCCTTCTTGTGATGTCGCTGCTTGCACCGTCGCCAACCCCCACCAGCGTTGATGGTGATTTGAGACAGAGGACAGGCAGGAAGAGGAGAGGGTGGCTGAAGCGTACGCTGTTTCCTACCACGACCACGACCACGACCACGACCACGACGACAACGACAACAACCTCCACAACAACAAAGCCGCCATGTGTCCCGGTCGACCTGCCCGCAATACACAACTTCACCCTTTTGAAAAAGGGCAAGCGGATACCCAAGGAGCACCCGTGGGGCGCGGTCGATGGCGTGTTCTCCTTTCATGTTCCAAATGCGCCGCACTCCCAGGCTCGCTACGACAGCCTCCGGAAGCAAATGTCATCGCAGGGGCTGTGGGACCACCTCACCGTTGTTGAAGGCCAGATCTTTCCCAACACCACCAGCGCACACGCGGGGGTCTACGCCGCGCAGCAACACGCCATCCGCACCGCACTGCAGCAAGACATGTCCGTTGCATGCTTCTTTGAAGACGACTTTCTCTTCGAGCCGTTCCGTGCACCACCAGAGGCAGACGAGGCGACCAGCGAAGGAAGCGCCCCAAGCAAGGGCCAGGGAGGAGGAGGAGGAAGGGGTGGAGGGGAAGGAGGCTCGAAGTCAAAGGCCTCTGCAGGTCATGCTGCGGGCCCAGACCCAAACTGGATCAACCAGCACGAGGCACAGGCGTACCAGGAGCACGCTCATCTCAGCGAGGCACAGCGGATGCGTCTGATCCCACAGCACCTGACACAGGCCCTGCGCCGGCTGCAGCTGCACGACCCAGAGTGGGACGCGCTGATGCTCACGGGCAACTTCTTTCGCTTCCAGCTCGCGTACAACCACACGGGCGACGGTCGCCTCATTCGCGACTTTGTGCACGTGCGTGGCTTTGGCGCGGTTGCATACTGCCTGTCCCGGCCCATGATGGAGCACATTTCCTCTGTGCTGTGGGGCTGTGGCATTGTCCCGAGCGGCACGTTTGACGGCTTCTTCTACGCCAGCGGCAAGGTGTACGCAACGTATCCTCTGCTCGCCATCCATCCGCCCAACCAGAGCTTGCGCCACAACGAAGCCGGGCCATATCTGCCCGAGCACCTGCTGTGGAAGCCGCGTGTGGACGTGTTCCACCACATGGCCATGTACTGCCCCTCACACGCCGTCGCATGCGACCCGACAGCCCGCGCGTTTAACTGCATGCTGCCGTGGCGTGAACTCAAACCAACAACAACAACAACAACAACAACAACAACAACAACCACCACCACAACCAACCGGACAACGACCAAACAGCCCATGCCAGCAGCAGCTGCACCAGCAGCGCCCAATGCACAAGCAGACGTGGAGCTGTAGAGCGTCATTTGTGAGTTGTGTTGATGATGAGTGGTGTTGATGGTGATAAGAGGTGGTGGTTGGTGTGGACGCTGTCACATCATTCCACACTGTGTTTAGCAATGGTTTCAGCCCCTAAATTCAACTGGCACCACCCAGCCAGTTGTGGGCTGGTGTGTGTATGTGTTGTGTGTAGTTGAATTTCTTTCCTTGTTGTTATCTCCACGTAGATAGCTAGGGCTTGGCCCTGTGGCATTCGTTTCGTGCGCCCTTCCGTTTCTTTGCACGCTTGTTTCTCCTTCTTCCCTGTGTTGCTGTAATGGCCGCTGACTGCTGGTGTGGCTGGCGTGTGTGTGTGTGTGTGTGTGTGTGTGTGTGTGTGTGTGTGTGTGTGTGTGTGTGTGTGTGTGTGTGTGTGTGTGTGTGTCGGGTGTAAAAAAGTATGATGCAGACGTGCAGAAGGAAAGACTATTACTTAGTTTTATTTTATTTATAATTTTTTTCTTTTTTTTTTTTATGTG